AACATGTCATCGATCATACCGCACCACACATTGATAGAGAAGCGACTTTGAAAATTTGTCTCCACAGTACCACGTGGACTGTCGTCAGCCCACCACCGCCAGTTACGTGTGTTGTTGATTCCGTTACGGGTGAAGCAGCTACACGTACATCAGTGAAGAGTGTTAATGGAAGCAATTGGCGAATAGTCTGTTGTCCAAAAACATAAAAATTAGAATATACAAAACTATAAATTTGCCTGTTGTTCTGTATGGGTGTGAAACTTGGTTTCTGACATTAAGGGAGGAACATAGACTGAGGGTGTTTGAGAACAGGGTGTTGAGGAGAATATTTGGCCCGAAGAGGGATGAAGTGACAGGAGGTTGGAGAAAACTGCATAATGAGGAGCTTCATAACTCGTACTCTTCTCCAGTATAATTAAAATGATCAAGCGAAGTAGGATGATGTTGGCAGGTTATGTAGCATGAATTGGAGAGACGAGGAATGCGTATAGGATATTGGTGGGAAAGCCAGAAGGAAAGAGACCACAGGGAAGATCAAGGCGTAGGTGAGTGGACAATATTAGAATGGATCTTAGAGAGATATTGTAGTATGGGTTGATATGAATTGGATAGATCTGGCTCAGGATAGGGACCAGTGGAGGACTCTTGTGAACACGGTAATGAACCTTCGGGTTCCATAAACTGCTGGGAAATTCTTGAGTAGCTGCAGAATTGGCTGCTTCTCCAGAAGGGCTCAGCTCCATGAGTAAGTAAGTAAACTGGCGAATAGTATGTAACCAATGACAAAATTACTGTCCTCTGGATGTAGATTTTGCTCACGCTGTGGGTGAAATGAGTACAAGCCGTCATCATGCAATGTGCGCCATACACGTGTTCGTGAAACACTGAGACGTGCAGAAAGTCTTCGCGTGCTGATAGTAGGGCTAAGCTGTACCATTTCAAGATGTTCTGTTCCTCCACATGTTGACTTGCTCGTTCAGACGAAACATGAGCACTGGGAAGTGTACCAAGTTCACGCAATGTAAAGAAACCCATGGAAAACACTCTACGATCCGGAATTCTGAGTATAGGAAAGAGTAGACGGTATTTTTCAACACCATCGCTGAAGCCGTAAACGTACAGCATATCAGAATATTCGGCATTGTGAAGATGTGCGACTTTTTTTGCAAAGCACTCCTGTAATGGCACTGTCAACAGTCACAACGGCTAACTGGCGCAGTACGGCTCCCATGAAGATTTTGAGCCATATTTTTGGCACAGTTTATAAGGCAACTGGGTAAGTCCTTCTAACGCCTTATGTAAACTAACTAGAGTTTGTTATGCTTGAGTCTAGCCGGAAATCGCAATTTCTCAGTTTTTAATGAAAGTCTTCCCTAGAGAATTTGAAGCACACCTTCCTATAGGTTAGGTCCCGGTATTACATCACAGGCAGACGGACAGAATTACCTCCAGTGGTAGTATTCGTTACTGAGTAGTTCGCCTTTCGACCTTGCGCGGTCATATGTTTATTCTAGAACTTTCAATTTCATGCCAGAACAACAGATGCATGTCCCCCTTCTCGTTCTGTCTCACTACCGACGTTTCTTTCATTAGCCCGGAGGCTTGAAGCAGAAAATTCATGCTGAAGGAAAGAATGTATTCACGAGGTGCATCGCTGCACACACGGATTACAGACTAATGTTATGCAGACTATGTTATTATCTTAAATGCTGAGTAGGACGGGATTCATATTTAGCCAGGAACTACTACAGGCAGGAAAGATAAAATGGTGCCTCTGGCCTGAGTGCAATATAATGAAGGCATATGTAGGGCACTGAAGTAAAGCTCCATTCATTCCAGACATGGGTAATACATTAGGGTGAACGATAACCTTAACGCGACCGCGTCTGTGGTCTAGTGGTCAGAGTTCATGGCTACAGAGCCAGGAGTACCGGGTACGATTCCCTGCGCCACCAGATATTCTGAGAAATAGTGGGTCTGGAACGGGATCCACTTAGCCTTGTGAGGATAATTGAGGAGATATTTAAAGGAAATAACGGCTCTGGTCTAGAAAACCGAGATTAATGGCCGTGGGGATTCGTTGCGCTGACCACGTGACACCTTCTATCCGCTAAAGTTGGTACTAACTTCGCCGACAAGCGGCGGTCGCTCGGTCGGTATAGTTCGCTTACGGACTACAGGCCACGGAGTTTGTTTGGTAACCTTAACGCTTTGGATAGGGGGCTGGGTCTGACCCACAGATGATTTGGACGTGGTAGCTTACAACTTGTGAGGTTCACACAGGGGTCTGTTCAGCTGTTGTCGTCGCTTCGGAGGAACATGTTGCCTCCATCTTCACGGCTTAAACGCGCAGCGTGAGTAAGCTGTTGGGTTATATGGTGAGCGTGTAAATGGTTTTTCTTCTCACGAGAAAGGGAGAGAAACTAGGCTCCGAGACACTTGTATCTTCTCAGAATCACAATTCTGTCCTCTGCTGACAAAGAGCATCGTGGCCCAGGAGAGGGCCGTCTTTCCTTTTCTCACAATTTCTCATTCCACCAAACAAACTGGCGCAGCGGTAACGCTCTAGAATCGTCTTCGGGAAGTCAAATCTCGACAGACACATAGACTATCATGACCGAGGGATAACGTGGTTTTCCTGTCCTTCCAGGCAAGTGTCGGGATATCTCGACTAGACCACAACCACTTCCTTCAAAAACCTTTACAACTGATGATTCATCAGCCGTTCTACCATCCATTCATGGTGCCGTAAGTTAACCTACCAGAACATCCATATTCCTTCCTGTGACGATAAACAACATTACGTTTGTGAAGGAATCCTGTTACCCTGGCGAAGATAAATACAATACTGTGACCCTAAACTGGATCTCTTACCGCTTCTCTTAAGGCGGACCGGTCTGCATTTCCTGTCGCTCTCTCTCCCGTGATTATCAGGAATACCTTCTCACAACCTGGCCATACGACGCAACAGACTTCTCACCCTGTGCACTTCAACCCTGAAGATGGGGGCAACATGTTCCTCCGTAACATAGGTATTCACCTTCATGACTACACTGTGTCACACAGGCAAGAATACCATAATCTGATACAAATCCTTGCCTTTTTGTTTTTAGTTTGTGAAGATGGGTGAAACTGAGTCCACTTCATACGTCGGCTAATGTTTGGCTTATTGTACCAGCCCCGGATGATAGATGAGTCTGGAGCAGTCGGTGGAATGAGAATTGGCAGGGGAAACCGAAGTACTCGGAGAAAACCTGCCCCAATGTCCCTTCGCCCAGTACAAATCCCACATGAAATGACCTTGGTTCTAGCCCGGGCCGCAGGGGTGAGAAGCCGGCGACTACCCGCCTGAGCTATGGCTCGGCCCTAATCCCTGCCTTTGCTTCGCTTGACGTCTGCACCACAGCCGTAACTTCACCGGCTGCAGGCTCTATTCTGCGATCCGAATACTTACTCAGGGTCTGACCAAACTGAATCTAATTATATTTCCGCACTACAGTTCCGAAACTCTTCCAAGTATTCTTACGGCGAACATTTCAAAGGCGATGAGCGAAGCGTGTAGCTTGGGTGGGCAGATTAGAAATGCATGGGGCATTTAGTCTTAAATCACTAAAGGGTACGTACAGACCACCTGGGAGACTTGGGCGTTGAAGAAGGATGATAATTCTATTGAAATGGACGTTAAAGGTATTTCTTTACGACAAGAGGGTGTGGACTAAATTCACGTGACTCTAGATAAGGACTAATGGTAGGCTCGTGCGAAGCGGGGAATGAATATTTTGGTTCCAAATATGAAGAAAATTTCTTCAGTCGCTTTGCGACTATTAGATTCTCGAGAAGGACTACAATATATGGAGTGAGAGAGTACGTTAACAAAGCTCCGTTAGAATGGGCGTGCTCTTAAAAACGTAACTATGTCTGCCGATTGTAACTGTAATTCATACAAAGTGACTACGAAGACATCTGGCAAAAGAGAACGGAAAACTGTCCCGGCTCGTAATTAATGAATCACCACTGCATAGAGAAATGGAAGTACAGTTCCATGCATTCTTAACTACGGAACTAGAAGGAGCTGACTTGTCAACTTCAAGCCCTGGCCGCTCTATTACCGGGAAAGCAGTCCTTGATACCCACAGCACACGGGGCTAGGTGGGCCCCACAGCTGGTCTGAACGAGGTGGTAAAGAGAACAATTCCTGAACCCGATTCTCCGGTCGTACGGCCCGTCGCCTAGCCACTACACTGACTGAGCTACTCTTGCAAGATATCTGGAAGGGAATTTACATAAATGCGCACAACTCTACACAGATAATTGAAGTTGATCATCTATCTATTTATCTGTCTCTCTGTCTATCTATCTATCTATGGCTCTACAGCCCTTTGTTGGGCCTTGGCCGCTTTTTCGGTTTCTTAATCCTATAGACAGTCGACAGGACTCCTTGGACGGAGGATCAGCCCGTCGCAAGGCCGCTACCTAAACACAGAACAACACACACAGAATAAACGTGCACAGACATTCATGCCTTTAGTGGAATTCGAACCCATGATCCCAGTGTTCGAGTGGGCGAAGACAGTTCATACCTTAAACCGCGCGGCCAATGTGATAGGCAAGTTTTTCTCTACTTAATTAATTAAGCACCACGCAATGCAGATATATGGGGGGCGGAGGTATGGCTCCACGAATTCACAACCTCAGTACCAGATGAAGTTAAACCCATTGAATGGGAGGCTGGCTGGGCATCAGGGCCGGTCTCGACGCTCTTACTGGAATCGGACACCTATTTCTCGACCGTCTAGAATGTAGCTAGTCACTATACCAACTGAGCTATCTCTGCTCAATGTTACATGTACAGGGCCTCCATCCACAACTGCAAAAAGAAAGTTAAACCTGTCCATACCATAGAGCCGTTACTAGACCTGTCAAAATGCAATCTGAACAGTGATTACTGATGCAATTCACACACGTGTGTGTGACACACCTCAGAACACAGAACCGCTTACCGTTTGACTGGAGGCGTCGAGATATCGCAGGCCAAAGTATGCGGTTTCCAGCAGATTCAGGTGACGGAACACGGTGTCCAAAATCTCCTGACCCGGGCTGTTGTCCTGAAACGCGAAATAAGATATCAAATTAGTACAGTTTCACATTAAGTTAGATAAGAAACTGCTTGTTTCATAGTTTAACGACACTCTCTCAACCACACAGGTTACTGAGTGAGATTTTTAACAAAAGCAGGCTTAGGCTGAACAGTCCTACGTTTACTAACAGGCTAACTAAGTCCATGGAGCTGAGTCCTTCAGACGCCGCTAGTCGCTCAGCTACTCAAAAACTTCCCAACATTTTATGAAACATGAAGGTTCATTACCGTGTTCACAAAAGTCACTGAACCAGACGAATACGATTCATCTCACCCCATTTTAAGATAATTTTAATATTATCCTCCAGCCTACTTATAGGTCTTCCTAGTGAATTTCTCCTTCTGGCTTTCCCACCAAATCCATGTATGCATACCGCTCCTCTCCCATGTATGCTACAGCCTTGTCCATCTAATCACTTGATCACTCTAATTATATTTGATGAACAATGCAAGTTAAGATCCTCCTTATTATGCAAATTTCTCAGCCTTCTGATCATTCATCCCTCTTGGGTCCAAATATGCCCACTAACACCACCCATCCATATTCCACTTTTAATATAACAGGCAATGTTCCACTCGACTCCCAAAATACTGGGCCGAACCATGCCAAGTTTGCATCACAGAAACATTTCCTAAGAATGCGACTGTAAAGCGATCAACAGGAGGCCCACTTGTGAATGATGAACTGTAAATTACTGAAAACGAAACAATGTTATCTCGTTTAAGACAGATCTACTAAGAGTAGTGACCGCGCTTTCGCTTGGCACAGCGTTGTATCCTAGAAGTTAGAAGTCTTCACCGAGAGAACATCTGGCCCTAAGTGAGATGAAGTAACGAAGCAAAGGAGACACTTTCATGACGACGGGGTTCACAATTGTAACTGCCTCTTATTAGGGTAACTAACAAAGGACGAATGTGGTGAAACATAAAATAATCATTCGGAAACAAGAGAACCGAACTGATATTCATAGCGGAGACGCTCCTAACTCGTACCCGGGAAGCGCTCTGTTCGATCTTAACCGAGACACCGAGTATCCCGACTTGGGCTTTTCGCGGTTTTCTTCAGGCACTCAAAAAAGTGATTGAATACTGCCTCAATTAGATCACGAGGACTTCCCTCGAAATCCTTTCCAATTCATGGGCGACTTATCTACGTATGATCCGACGCCATATAGTTTAGCTATGTGGCGTATGTATATATACATACAAAATATGCAAATATAATTTTCTGATTTGGACACTTCCTGGAAAGCAACTTCAGGAAAGTCTAGGAATAGCCGTGTATTTTCTTATATTTCATGTTTCGATAGGAGCGGGGTTAGCGCAGTCGGTATAGCGACTAGGGACTGGCTACGGGCTGGACGACCAAGGGGTTGGAGTTCGAGTCCCGGTGGGGGCAAGAATTTTCACTTCTCCATGTCGTCCAAACCGGCTCTGTGGCCTACCCAGACTCCTATCAAATGGGTACAGAGGGTTCTTTCCCTGGGGGTAAAGCGGCCGGGGCCTGAAGCTCACCACTCACCTCCAACTAGTGCCCAGGTCAAGAAAATGTGGATCTATACGTCCACTCCCCCATACGTCTTAATGGCGTACTACTTAATTAGTTTAATTAGTTAAGCACAGGGACAACTTTACCTTTTTATGTTTTATATCTTGACGCTTTCAGTACCTCACACTGCGTAGCCTTTAATATAAGCACGATTACAATATTATATTTAAGCATGCTGTTACACTCTATACGATATATGACATAAACACCGTCCCAAGTGCAACAATTTATTGTAGTTCTTTTGCCTTGCCCTCTTCTACACTACATGTTTCGGCCGCAAACGGCCATCATCAGGTGTATACACTTACGTAGCTGTTACACTGCACCCAGTTTAAAATTTAAAAACACACAGGTCTTCCCAATTGTTCTCTTCGTCGTTACCAACAGGTTTCGATTTATCAGAATCTACTTCGCTGATATCTGTCTGATTTGTGCAGTGTAACAGCTACGTAAGTGCATACACCTGATGATGGCCGTTTGCGACCGAAACATGTAGTGTAGAAGAGGGCAAGACAAAAGAACTACAATAAATTGTTGCACTTGGGACGGTGTTTATGTCATATATCATAAGCACGATTAGTGAACAAGGAACACGAAAGAATTTTGAACGAAGCGACGTGGTCTGATCTAGGTATTACCCCGACATTTGCTTGGAAGGATGGTGGGGGGGGGGAGCTTCAGGACAACTGCTGTCCCGCCCGAGATTTGAACTTAGCACCACAAGAATAAAAATTTAGACGAGTTTTATCTCCCGGGACATAACGCCGTGCAGTGTGTTAAAGGCAGCCCGATGTTTCGGAGCAACTTGTCGCCTCCACCTGCTTCCTTCCTGCGCCGCACTGGTTTCCTGCCTGGCTTATTCTTCGACCCTGAAGATGTACATGACATATTCCTCCGAAACGTCGGTTGGCTTTCAACAATCGCATTATATCCCAGAAGATATAACTCTTTATAACCACCTACACCTACACAACTCTACACAGTATTACCACTACCTCTACTTTCTTGGTAACAGCTGTGAAGGTAAAATTAAAATTGTATAATGTGACGGCTTCATCTGAACCTCAGGAAAACCCAAGGAGGGAATCTCTTATGGTAACATTTTACACATATTCCTCAAGCAGCTAGTTATGTTCACGAAAGCTGCAGACATCAAATGGGGCACACACGCGCGTTATCCTGAATCACGTGTATTGGCTCGGTCCTCAAGGACTACGGATCAGTCACGAGGGCCTCCACTGTAACAGTAAGGTGCGCCACGAGAGTGTAAGTGAGGTTTCAAAGTGCATCTCCCACTCAAACATTTAATTCTATATGACGAGGGTAAGTAAGAACATGAGCCTCACTGAGAGACTTCCATTTTACACACCCTGTAGCGTGGTCCCGGACCTAACACTGTCTCCTCCCATGTTTACCCGCGTGCTCCAAGTGGCCCGTTCCCATGTGAGCCTCTAAGGAAAATGTTACCTCTCACAACCAACAATCCTTGTGTGACACGGCGATAATGAGTCTAACAGTCGGGCACATGTTGTTCCCACACGGGCTATCGTTACTGTTGGATATATTATCTGTCGTTATCTTCACTCCCTTCAGACAAACGACGGGACAGCCCCTTAAACGGACCACAATCGCTCCGTCTCCCACAAACCTTCCTGGGCTTCAGTCATGCCACCTTAAAGTAACAACGAACAGGTTGGCGCACCTGTTACGGGCTAAACTTAAACAAAACAAAGGCCGTGGCTTTGGTCCGCAAGCGAACTACACCGACCGAGAGACCGCCGCTTGTCGGCGAAGTTAGTGCCAACTTTAGCGGATAGAGGGTGTCACGTGGCCAGCTCAACGGATACTCACGGCCGTTAATTCCTGTTTTCTAGACCGGAGCCGATACTTTTCCATTCAATTAGCTCATCAATTATTCTCACGAGGCTGAGTGCACCCCGTTCCAGACCCATCACTTCTCAGAAAATCTGGTAGCGCAGGGAACTGAACCCGGGACCTCTGGATCTGTAGCCAGGAACTCTGAACTACTGAGAAATACTCGGCTCGAATCTCGGTCGGGTTACCGGCCATTCTGAGAAGATGGAAATTTCTGCCTCTCAAAGCGAATGACTGGACAGTACCTCCAAGCAGACAACGTAGCCTCATCTATTCACCATTCATCATTTCACTGACATGTGACGCTCATAAACTTCATGGTGGAAAAGTTGTTAAAATCAGTTATATGAATCAATCAGTGTTACAGAACGTCATCAAGCGTCACATGACCCAAATGTAATATAAGAAACTCCGTGGCTTGAGTCCGTAAACGAACTATACCGACCGACCGACCGAGCAACCGCCGCTTGTCGGCAAAGTTAGTGCCAACTTTAGCGGATAGAGGGTGTCGCTGCGTCAGCGCAACGGATCCCCACGGCCGTTAATTTGGGAGCCGCTACATTTCCGTTCAGGTAGCTCATCAATTATCCTCACGAGGCTGAATGGACCCCTTTCCAGACCAACCACTTCTCAGAAGATCTGGTAGCGCAGGGAATTGAACCCGGGACCTCTGGATCTGTAGACAGGAACTCTGACCACTAGACCAGCATCGTCAATTTAATAGGAAAAGGCATAAGCTCCTTTATATGGCGCCGCGGTGCACAGTAGAGTAATGCCAACGTTGTAGCGCAAGTGTGATGTGCAGAGGGGGCAGAGATAGTAACATCAAACGAAGTTACGGCCGCTATGAATTACCGCCTCATGGGGGCAGGATTTAGTGAGTCATGCCTGAGCCCAGAGCTATCAAGCTTCGGAAATCTCATAAGAAAGCAAAAGAAAATGTATCAATTTTGGTATGAAGGACAACATAAATACAAATATTAAGATGTTAAACTGACGAAGATGCAAATCAAATTAATACTCTAATTAGATTTAACAACAGTACTTTGATAAATGTACAGTCTTGAAGTCCTCATTATTTCTATATTATTAAATTTTGTACAGAACAATAATTGGAGAACCAAAATAATGCAATTAATAAGAAATTATATTGGGGCCCATCATAACATGAAATCCTAAGCTGAAGTTTCATATGTAAATTCGGTATGCGACAACCGCTCTCTTTGCTGAATTCACTGTGGAAGCCCGTTACGGAATTACCAAACTCCTTCTTGTTCAGTAACAAGGACTTAACAAAGGGCTTAAAAACTACTTATGAAAGACAAGTACATCTGTGTGCTAATGAAATCGGCGCACGGCAAAGCGACAAATCGAAAATATTTATTTCTCTGAAAAGGGAACCAACCAGAAACACAGAAGTTGAGGAACTAAACCGTTGGAAACCGATCGCGTATTTTCATTCAACATTCATTTCGTGTTTCAACTGCGGCTATTGTTCTGTGAACAGTAGCGTGGAAATCTGTCAATACAAAGACACACAGACA